GTAATATTAATACATTTAAATATCGGTCGGTTTTGTTCTATTAATTTAAATATCAATCGGTTTTGTTTTATTAAGAGATTTAAATATCGGTCGTTTTTGTTCTATTAATACATTTAAATATCAATCGGGTTTTGTATTAAGAGATTTGAATATCGGTTGGTTTTGTTCTATTAATAACTTTAAATGTCACAAACTGCAATGTTCAGGTATCACACAGCCAAGCTTCCAGAGTAAAGGCCTGTTCACTTCAAGGACGATAACTAAATCTATTATAATAGAGAAGTCCGCACCACAACTATAATGATAACAAGGAACGATATCGTAGAACGATTGTTTTCAGCTGATGAACAATAAAAACATTGACAGCCAATCAGAATTATTTTGTTATATTGTTTTATAATTGCATTGTAATGAAAGTACTGAATAATAACACACATTGTGGAATCAATTGAGTTGGTGAAAATTATACTTTTCTCAACAATACTCGTCCTGCCAGATGCACGTTTTTCAGAAACATCACTGTATACAATGACCCTTATAAGTGCTCACTCTATAGGGACCCTTTAAGCTGTTTATTAGACTAGAAGGGCGTGAAACATCATCTGGGTGGTCTAAACTGTGCCATTCATCCGATGAGGGACGTGCCGTTCACTGGCGCATGAAGTGGTTACCGTTTAGACGCACACTTTTTCTCTTGGAGTTTGAGTGCATGGGAGTTATTAGCATTGACTTACTAAACCTTTTTGTTTACTGAAATCAAATATTTTAAAAATATTTTATTTCAGCTATTTGACAAAACAGAAATTATAATTTTCTTTAGTTTGTTAAAGTACTAAAATAACTAAAACTAGAACTTAAAAAAATAAATTTGTTCTATTATGAGATTTAAATGTCGGTCATTTTTGTTCCATTTAATTTTAATATCAGTCAATTTTGTTCTATTAATAAATTAAATATTGGTCTTTTCTATTAATACATTTAAATATCAGTCGGTTTTGTTCTATTAATTAAATTAAATATTGGTCGTTTTTGTTCTATTACGAAATTTAAATGTTCAAAAACTAATAAAAATGACTAGTTTTAACGAACTCTAATTGAAAATATCCACAAACTGTAACAGTATCGCAATGTTACTAAAATAACACTGTTACACAGTAATATTTGTTGCTTGATTCTTGACTATGTTTTGAAATATTTTAGGTTTTTAAACAATTCATGAACTTTCTTGAAATTGTAATTCAGTTATGAATCTCAGTTGTTTTAATTTACATTAGAGATTGTCAGATTCACTAATGGATTAATACAATGGTTATATATGCAGTCATTTTAATGTGTAAATGTAATTTATCTATCCACATTTTCCATCACATCTCCTTCAGACGATGCATTTTATCATGAACGTCAACAAACCTCAATGCAAAATTATGAAAATGAAAGAAAGATAATTATCTGCCAGTTAATGCATTATCTAGGTGATTTGTGCTTCTCATACCCAGCTCTGACCTCAGTGTGAGACACAGATCTCAGTGTTGATCCGCTTTGTGAGACTCTTTTCAGTGTGTGTCGAAGACCACCAGTAGTTTTAACCAGTCCTCTCGGCTCTTTATCTGACCTGGAGCTCATAATGGCTTCATTAATGCAGAAGGGAAATTTGTTTGACAATAGCTTAATGGCCGTCTCAGTCAATCGAGGCGAAGAGAGGAGGAGTGTTTTTGATGGGCGTTTTCAGCCGGGGTCGGCCGGGGTCACGCCGCATAGATGCGTCTCCCACAAGTGAACAAGTGTTCAGACATCGCTGTGTTTCCCTTTACCAGGCGTTTCCGTGTTCGTACACACTCCCGAGGCCCTTTTCCCTCAAGCTGATGATTTAAAGATGCTTTGTTGCTCAACGGATTTTTTTTTAATATATATCTATATTTTTTATGGCCGTTGCCGATATGTATGATATAGTAAAAACATGCTCAACAATTGCGGAAATTAATTTTATATTAATTATTATAATTCTATATTAAGTTAGTGTGTGTGTGTGTGTGTATATATATATATATATATATATATATATATATATATATATATATATATATATATATATATATATACACTCACCGGCCACTTTATTAGGTACACCTGTCCAACTGCTCGTTAACACTTAATTTCTAAGCAGCCAATCACATGGCGGCAACTCAGTGCATTTAGGCATGTAGACATGGTCAAGACAATCTCCTGCAGTTCAAACCGAGCATCAGTATGGGGAAGAAAGTTGATTTGAGTGACTTTGAACGTGGCATGATTGTTGGTGCCAGAAGGGCTGGTCTGAGTATTTCAGAAACTGCTAATCTACTGGGATTTTCACGCACAACCATCTCTAGGGTTTACAGAGAATGGTCCGAAAAAGAAAAAACATCCAGTGAGCGGCAGTTCTGTGGGCGGAAATGCCTTGTTGATGCCAGAGGTCAGAGGAGAATGGCCAGACTGGTTCGAGCTGATAGAAGGGCAACAGTGACTGAAATAACCACTCGTTACAACCGAGGTATGCAGCAAAGCATTTGTGAAGCCACAACACGCACAACCTTGAGGCGGATGGGCTACAACAGCAGAAGACTCCACCGGGTACCACTCATCTCCACTACAAATAGGAAAAAGAGGCTACAATTTGCAAGAGCTCACCAAAATTGAACAGTTGAAGACTGGAAAAATGTTGCCTGGTCTGATGAGTCTCGATTTCTGTTGAGACATTCAGATGGTAGAGTCAGAATTTGGCGTAAACAGAATGAGAACATGGAACCATCATGCCTTGTTACCACTGTGCAGGCTGGTGGTGGTGGTGTAATGGTGTGGGGGATGTTTTCCTGGCACACTTTAGGCCCCTTAGTGCCAATTGGGCATCGTTTAAATGCCACGGCCTACCTGAGCATTGTTTCTGACCATGTCCATCCCTTTATGGCCACCATGTACCCATCCTCTGATGGCTACTTCCACCATGTCACAAAGCTCTAATCATTTCAAATTGGTTTCTTGAACATGACAATGAGTTCACTGTACTAAAATGGCCTCCACAGTCACCAGATCTCAACCCAATAGAGCATCTTTGGGATGTGGTGGAACGGGAGATTCGCATCATGGATGTGCAGCCGACAAATCTGCGGCAACTGTGTGATGCCATCATGTCAATATGGACCAAACTCCCTGAGGAATGCTTCCAGCACCTTGTTGAATCTATGCCACGAAGAATTGAGGCAGTTCTGAAGGCAAAAGGGGGTCCAACCCGTTACTAGCATGGGGTACCTAATAAAGTGGCTGGTGAGTGTGTATATATATATATATATATACTGAAATAAATTTAAGTTAAACCACTAAAATTAACACAATTTTTTTTTTTTATATATATATATTTTTTTTTAAATCGTGTTAATTTTAGTGGTTTAACTTAAATTTATCTCAGTATATTGCAAATGCAACATTTCTAATTTGTTTCAACTAAATATATTTTATTTCAGCTTTATATCAATTAACAGAAATGTTTTTAATATTATAATATATATGCTTTATGGTGCTCAACTGATTTTTATTTTATTTTTTATTATGTATGATTTAGTAAAAGCATGCTGCTTAATAGCTGAAATAAATTGTATACTTATTTCACAATTTTTACTAAATTAGTGAGAATTTAATAAATTGCATGAGAAAAATGTTTGAATTTTATCCGCATCATATTCACACAGACCAGTGTTATTTCAGTGTTATTAATATTTTGAGTTAATTTTTTGGTATTCATCTTTATTTTAGTTTAATTTAGTCATTTTGTTATGTGCTTTTGTCATTTTATTAATATTGCTATTTACTTAAAAGCTGGGTTTCCACCACAGGGGGACTTAAAATGATATAAATATGTGTTTGTTATCGGTTAATGTTCGCCTAACAAACACAAGGATATAATTAGCTAGAACAATGCAGTCAGCGCTAACTTTGGTGAATACAACATAAAGGTTTCTAGCAGCTAACGTTAGCGATCGATCTACAAACTCACAGTAGGGCGTCAGTTTGTGTGAATGATTGTTTTCACCCACTCTGTTATGAATTTGAATGTTCATTCATGGCCTATTGACAACTTTGACTAAATTTGTTTACGACGGAGCCGTTGTTTATGCTCACTGGGAAACGCGAAGCTAACGTTATCGTGCTATTATTGCGTCCTTGTACGGGAGCTAAAGTTATAACCTCAGGTGGCGAAGCGTTTTATCGTGTTTTTCTGCGTTATATGAAAGCGTTTATCTAACTTGGCGACATTACACCTTGAATGAAGGAGGGAGGGAGGGAACGGGATAGCTAGCTTCCATTTTGTTTGACTATACTCCGAACCTCAACAAGAAGTGACGTCACCCGATATTGCTTAGAGCACCTTTAAAATGATATAAATGTTTATTCTCAGTGCTGTCAAAATTGCTATTTACTTAAAAGCTGGGTTTTCACCACAGGGAGACTTAAAATTATATAAATGTGTGTTTGTTCTCAGTGCTGTCAAAATAAAAGTCCCAAATGCTATCAAAATAAAAGTCCCATAAAATAACCAACCAATGCTGATCATTTCAAATTACCGACCAATGCTAATAATTTAAAAATGCTAAAGATCAGCTGATATATCCATCTCATCCTGGTTATCCAAGCTTTAAACAGGACGTATTATTTGTAGTCATTTTATTTGTCTTTTTCTTAATATTGCTATTTACTTAAGCTGGGTTTTCACCACAGCGGGACTTAAAATTATATAAATGTGTGTGTTCTCAGTGCTGTCAAAATAAAAGTCCCAAATGCTATCATAATAAAAGTCCCAATAACCGACTAATGCTAATAAAATAACCGACCAATGCTGATCATTTAAAAATGCTAAAGATCAGCTGGTATATCCATCTCATCCCGGTTATCCAAGCTTTAAACGGGACGTGTTGCATTGGATACATGGGATCATTGAGTCCAGAAACGTGTGTTTGTGTTCTGCTCAGGTGGAGAGACCATCAAGAACATCAACCAGCAGTCCGGAGCCCACGTGGAGCTGCAGAGAAACCCTCCGCCCAACACCGACCCGAACGTGCGGATCTTCTCCATCCGCGGATCCCCCCAGCAGATGGAGATGGCCCGGCAGCTGATCGACGAGAAGATCGGGGTGAGCGGACGCTTAATACACGCTTTCTACTGGGTGTGAAATTCACATTACCATTTGAAAGTTTGGGGATGGCGAGAGTTTTCAATTCTGGAATCGGATACTTGTTATAAAATTTAAATTTCGATTCCTCTTACTACAGCAGCTTTACAGTGATAACGGGAGATTACAGTAACAGAGTGTTTAGGCTTTACAGCAGCTCTAGAATAAAGTTATTGTCCAGATAAAGTTAGTTTTGATTGATTCACTTCCGTCGTACAGATCATGATGATCAGATGAGTGTGTGTGAGTTGATGATCAGATGAGTGTGTGTTCAGTGTGTTGGATGAGTGTGTGTGATGATGATCAGATGTGTGTGTGATGATGATCAGATGAGTGTGTTCAGTGTGTCTGATGAGTGTGTGTTCAGTGTAGGGCTGTTGAAAAAATCCATTCACCAATTCTGAATCGATTTTCATATTAATTTCTAAAGATCGATCCGTAACTCAGAGGATCGATTTAATAATAGGCTTACATTTTCCCCGTGAACTTTAACTTGCCGCGACTGGGAGATCCCTGTATGCGCATTGAAAGGCTTTCACTCAGCGCGCACACTGTTACAACAACGGGCTTTGAGTGAGTCATTCGTTCATTCAACGAACACGTTCAAAAAAGCTGATTCATTAAAAGAGATGTAATGAAACAAGGTGTTAATTATTTTTAACTTTGAGTTCCACTTTTCAAGGCTCAGCTGAGCAGCAATGCATCGCATGGGTAACGCTGAAGCTGATGCTTCACTTATTAGAGACCAATTTGGCATTGATTCAATGCGTGACTCGCTGATTTTATTTCCCCGCGGCTTCCTTGCGCTGTGTAATGCTGACCAGCGCTGCTGCTGACGCGCATTTATGGTAAATACCCGTGACGTGAACGTTAAAAGGATGATACGACAAATATTTCGCTTTGACACGGCAACCTTTTTCACGAATACATATGACTTCAAAGACAGACGCAGGTAATCCGCACGCGCTCTGCCGATCTCTCTCATTCACTGTCTGTGCGAAGCCTCTGTAGGCTACACATCACCATGATAAACAGTCTTGTTTGTTATCATTATGAACTTGTTTAACATTCAATACACATGCATGAAGTTCAAAACAAGCAGTTAAATGTCTATAATAGCCTAATAGTATCAATATGTTGCATAACTACAGTCCTGTAATTCAGGTAACAGCTGGAAAAAACAAAAACACTCATATCTAAATCTCGAGGATCGGATCGAATAATGATAATCAATTCAAGATCTTGAGAATCGGAATCGAATCGATTCTTGAAATTTGAATCGAAACCCAGCTCTAGTTCAGTGTGTCTGATGAGTGTGTTCAGTGTGTATGATGAGTGTGTGTGTGATGGTGATCAGATGTGTGTGTGTGTGTGTGTGTGTGTGATGTGATCAGATGAGTGTGTGTGACTGTGATGGTGATCAGATGAGTGTGTGTTCAGTGTGTGATGGTGTTCCTCTTCCTCTTCTTCTTCTCAGGCGTCTGGAATGGGAGGGAACAGCAGTTTTGGACTCAGTCCTTTCACTCAAGGACCAGCGACTCCTCATCAGAAGTGAGTGCCTTTATTCCCTCCTTCCTTCCTTTCATTTCCTTCCCTTCCTGCCTTCCTTGCTAAATTTCTTTACTTCCTTTCCTTTCTTCCTTTTCATTTAATTTTCCTTCCTCCCTCTCTTTCCTCATTTCAGTCAGTCAGTGTATTCAGTGAGTGTGAGTGTATTCAGTGAGTGTGAGTGTATTCTTCAGTGAGTGTGAGTGTATTCTTCAGTGAGTGTATTCTTCAGTGAGTGTGAGTGTATTCTTCAGTGAGTGTGAGTGTATTCTTCAGTGAGTGTGAGTGTATTCTTCAGTGAGTGTGAGTGTATTCTTCAGTGAGTGTGAGTGTATTCAGTGAGTGTGAGTGTATTCTTCAGTGAGTGTGAGTGTATTCTTCAGTGAGTGTGAGTGTATTCAGTGAGTGTGAGTGTATTCTTCAGTGAGTGTGAGTGTATTCTGTGAGTGTGAGTGTATTCTTCAGTGAGTGTGAGTGTATTCTTCAGTGAGTGTGAGTGTATTCTTCAGTGAGTGTGAGTGTATTCTTCAGTGAGTGTGAGTGTATTCTTCAGTGAGTGTGAGTGTATTCTTCAGTGAGTGTGAGTGTATTCTTCAGTGAGTGTGAGTGTATTCTTCAGTGAGTGTGAGTGTATTCTTCAGTGAGTGTATTCTTCAGTGAGTGTGAGTGTATTCTTCAGTGAGTGTGAGTGTATTCTTCAGTGAGTGTGAGTGTATTCTTCAGTGAGTGTGAGTGTATTCTTCTGTGAGTGTGAGTGTATTCTTCAGTGAGTGTATTCTTCAGTGAGTGTGAGTGTATTCTTCAGTGAGTGTGAGTGTATTCTTCAGTGAGTGTGAGTGTATTCTTCAGTGAGTGTGAGTGTATTCTTCAGTGAGTGTGAGTGTATTCTTCAGTGAGTGTGAGTGTATTCTTCAGTGAGTGTGAGTGTATTCTTCAGTGAGTGTGAGTGTATTCTTCAGTGAGTGTGAGTGTATTCTTCAGTGAGTGTGAGTGTATTCTTCTGTGAGTGTGAGTGTATTCTTCTGTGAGTGTGAGTGTATTCTTCAGTGAGTGTGAGTGTATTCTTCAGTGAGTGTGAGTGTATTCTTCAGTGAGTGTGAGTGTATTCTTCAGTGAGTGTGAGTGTATTCTTCAGTGAGTGTGAGTGTATTCTTCAGTGAGTGTGAGTGTATTCTTCAGTGAGTGTGAGTGTATTCTTCAGTGAGTGTGAGTGTATTCTTCAGTGAGTGTGAGTGTATTCTTCAGTGAGTGTGAGTGTATTCTTCAGTGAGTGTGAGTGTATTCTTCAGTGAGTGTGAGTGTATTCTTCAGTGAGTGTGAGTGTATTCTTCAGTGAGTGTGAGTGTATTCTTCAGTGAGTGTGAGTGTATTCTTCAGTGAGTGTGAGTGTATTCTTCAGTGAGTGTGAGTGTATTCTTCAGTGAGTGTGAGTGTATTCTTCAGTGAGTGTATTCTTCAGTGAGTGTATTCTTCAGTGAGTGTGAGTGTATTCTTCAGTGAGTGTGAGTGTATTCTTCAGTGAGTGTGAGTGTATTCTTCAGTGAGTGTGAGTGTATTCTTCAGTGAGTGTGAGTGTATTCTTCAGTGAGTGTGAGTGTATTCTTCAGTGTAACCGCAGATCTCCCTCCAGGATCTCGTTTGCTTGAGTTCCTCAAAACTGAGATTTAAAGGGGTCATATAATGGTACATGCACTTTTACAAGTTGATTGTACTGAAATGTGTGTTGGCAGTGCCTGTACACAACCATCATATAATGATAAAAATCCATCCAGTGTTTTTGTTTTAATCTCCTTATGTTTTCCCCTGCCTCAAATCAAGCCGTTCGACCGTGTGACGTCACTAGATCTGACGCCCCGCCCAAGAGTGTTGATTGACAGCAGCGTTTCAACACAGACCCGCCCTGAGCGAGCTGTCATCATAGTCCGCCATTCTTGATACGCCGGAGCAGAATGGCTCTAAGCGATTGTGGTGTTCTGTTCTTGGGTGTAATAACAAACAGTCATTTTAATGTTCCTAAATCCGAACCGCTGAAGACGCAGTGGCTGAGTTTGTTTTCGAAGGGAATATTCCCCACGAGCAACGTCAATGCTCTCATGTTTGCGTGAATCATTTCTCACCAGACTGCTTTATAAACGAGGGCAAAGTCCTTTTAGGCAAGTCATGCCACTCGGCCGCCATCTTGGCAACGCCTCCGGGCAGCTATTTCCGACTAACAAGACCAGGCTCCTATCTAAATGAATGGGCAGAGAGTCAGAACTGCACTTTCACTGGTCATCGGGACATAAAAACTGCATGTATAGAAACAGCAGTAAAATATGATAAAAATCGCTGAAAAAGTTTGATGACTTTGCCCCAAAAGAAGGTTTAAAACACCTTTTTCCCCACAGGTTATACTTTTACTACGCATGCGCAAGGGTTCACGACACCAACTTCATTTACGTCTCTATCCAGAATGCCGGTGTCGTGCTCTACAGCACATACTTAGAATGTAAGGTAACATATTTGTGGTCGATATAAAATGCTTTAACTACTGTAACAAGGTTCAGATGTTATGGAAAGAAGGAGGCAGGAACCGGCGAACATTCAACCATTTTAATAAATAAACAAATCCAAAAATGGAAGTATGCCAGCAGCCCCGGATGAGCTGCTGGCCACACAAAACAGAAACAAAACACAACATAAAATCAGGCCTGTTCCTCTCTCGATCTCCATGTCGTCGCTCCACCTTTTATGCCTCCGCTCCTCCGTGAGAGATACGAGACGATGCGTCGCGCAGGTGCCGCTCATCAGTAATCACGCCACCGGCCTCACGCAGCTCTCTCTCGTCCCTCGTCCTCGGCCTGCTCGCCACAACTACCTTGGTAGTCCGGTGTTTTCGCGTTGTTATCACCCTCTTCCATGTGGATTCCATCTGATCTTGCACACAACACCATGGCACAAAACAACTCGCTGTCGCCAAATCGTCTCCGCTGTCGCAAACCTCAACTGTGCGCATGCGTCAGTGGAACCAGACGATAGGCTTAAATGTTTCCCGGCTTGACTGTTAAAAGCAGACGATTGGCTTTCCAGCGGGAGGGGCGGGACATATGCATACAACCGCCATCTTTGACGTTACAGGTTTTCCCTATATAGTTGTATTGAGGATTGAGGAAGTGGCATGTCTCTATATAAATAGTCTCTGACGAGGGTCAGTATAAAGCTGGTTTTGCTAAGAAGCTGCTCATGAAAAAAGGATCGGTACCAGATATTCGTGTTCCTGCTGCACCTCCTGAAGAAGTGAGTGTAACGTTGTATTAACCTTTATATTAATCTTTGCAAATCGCGAAAAAAAGTTTTTCATGACCATTAACTGTAACATCAATCTGTCAACGAACTAACCCATACATCAGTAAACACAGCGTTCGTATCTCACTACTCGACCCTGCCAGTGCATACAGAAATAGATCAAAGTGACATTACGTTAACCAACCAATTAGAAACGTCCTGTTCGAGCCTTAATTGTGGAACTTCTTTGCGGCCGCCATCTTGTTCCGGGTCCGACTCCGGTTCAAACTGATGCGGTTGCACAGAGGTGTCCTCAGAGACTCCCGCTGCCGTTCTCTCTCCAAAATATACCCTCGACTGTTGTCAAGGCAACACTCCACGTGCGTTGTCGAAGCGCCTGGGGGCGGAGCCAGCAAAGCTCATTATCATTTAAAGACACATGCACTGAAACGGCGTGCTGAAAACAGCTGTTCTTGACCAAGTAAAATTAGTGTTTTCTTACAATACTAACGAGAATTTTGAATTAAAGTATATTACAAACTTTTAATTTAGACCCTAAAGAATCATATTAACTTGTAAGAAAATGGCATTATATGACCCCTTTAAAGAAACATTGAGTCTCACAAACGAGTCTAGTTCTTCACCAGAAGCGGTCACATGACTCTCCACATCACTTCCGTGTGCAGCTGTGTGTTTCAGGCCAGATTGTGTCGTGTGTGTGTGTTTAACCTGCGAGGTGTTGTTTTGTTCAGTGGCCCGCAGACGTTCATGACTGGTGGATGGGGAACCACATATCAGACATGGCAACCCCAGAGCCAGCAGGATCCCAGTGAGTTTCACATCTCAAGTTTCTTCCACACCACTGTTCATTTTCACAGCTTCATTTCGTTTTAGTCAGTCTTTTGACTTAAATGCCATTTAGTAATATTGTATTCATCTGAATTGTTTTACTCGACGAAACATACAATTTTAAATCTACAGTAGCTTTAGTCGACGAATATCTAATGTGTTTTGTTAAATTGTAACGCGTTAATTTAGGAATTTCTCTACAATTTCCAAACCCATTATATACTCCCGGAGAAAACATCTATAATTAACCTGTTAATATGAATGATTTTAAAGTTTGAGACAATAGAGACATAAAAATAAAACCACTTCTAAAGTACAACATGATCTTTTCAATGAATGATATATCATCATTCTTTATTATTTCAAGCAGACATTTATTTGTTTTATAAATTAAATATAAGTAATCCCTATTAAAGCTGTTAAAGAGCCTTTTTTGTTTTGGTGTTTGATTAATATTAAGTGCACAGACGGCATCAGGTTAATTACGCACTGTCTCTTTAAGGCCGAGTGCACTGATGCACATCTGATATTCTCCGCCGTTTACGTTCTGTGAAGACACAACCGACTGTTTATACTGTCCAAAACGGGCATTTAGACATAATGTTGTGTGTATTTGTCCATTCAGACGTGAAAGAGAGCTCAGTTCAGTACTCACGGTGTGTGTGTGTGTGTGTGTGCGCGCAGAAAACCGTACCGAATAGAGTCGTCAACAGGGTTTGAAATTAACTTTTTCACTCACTGGCCATTTTGGCTACTAAATTAAGTTACCGGACAATCATAACTTCAACTAGACAAAATAAAAGAAATAAAGCAGATTAACTACGTCATATATATATTATAAAATATGGATTTCATACATTTTCTAATTCAAACAAAATCCTGTCATCCAGCATCTCCTCCTCTTCCTCTTTCATCCTTTTCACCAAATATGTGTTTTAGACAGATCAAATCAGTCCAAAGAACATAAAAACAAATGTCGGATGTTGGATAATAATGTGTTTTCTGTTCCCCAAACGCTTATTAATCTTCACTATCGCTTCAGTGCAAATGAACAAGTGCGCCGTTGTGTGTTGTGTAGTGACGAGTGTGTGCAAGTAAGCAGAAATTCTGCGCAATACACTGTATTTAATACATCATGATGACTCAGATTTGGATTGTACACTAATTTCCCAGCAAACATAATAAGTTAAACGCCGAATTGTCTGGTGATTGACAGCGTTGTATTTGTAGCCACATCTGGCGGGTGTTAATATCAAACCCTGGCCGTCACTCTTCTTCAGATCCGTCCGTACGTCTGCTCTTCTTTCTCCCAGACGTTTACATGTTTGAGCGCTTCGTGAGACGTGCATCCAGCGCATGCTAACTCAGATACAGTTCTCCCACACACACATCAGATCTTCCCAAACCTCCCTACCCAACATTTATGTTCAGTTTTTATTCGTTGACCAAAATGTCAATAGATTTTCGTCATGGTTTTAGTTAGGGCTGCACAATCAATCGAATTTGTAATTGCGATTACAAATTATGTAATCATTTAAAGGCGCAATTACAAAAAAATTGCTTTTTTTTTTTTTCTACAGGTTATCTTAAGGGTTCCCCCCCCATTTTTTTTTAATTTAGTTTTTATTATAACATAATACCATGTATATACAGGTGAAACTCGAAAAATTAGAATATCGAAAAATTAGAAAAAATAATAGAATAATTAATATATTAGAACAAGTTCGTGAATTTCAGTAATTAAAAGGTGAAACTAATATATTTAGTATATTTAACTATAAACATATGCGTGATTATGCTTTTCAGAGGGCCGACATTTCTGTATTTAAAATCATTTTTCTATTGATTTCATGTAATATTTTAATTTTCTGAGATTTTGAGTTTGGGGTTTTCATAAGAAGCCATAATCATCAAAATTATAACTTTTACACTTTTGCTATTTTAATTTTTCGAGTTTCACCTGTATTTACTTTGGTTTAGTGTTTTTAAATATATATATATATATATATATATATATGTATAAAAATTGAGATTTGTGGCTTAATGCTATAGAAAAGGGCAAAAAAGTTTTTAAAGACTTGTGTTTTCAGCTTGTTTATTTTGATATGATAATATGGCATGCAGTCGCTTCAAACAATGGCATAAATCTATTCAAAACATAATTCAATGTAAATTGTGATAATCGTAAATAATTATCGCAATTGCAATTTCAAGGGAATAATCGACAATTATTATTTTTGTCATAATCGTGCAGCCCTAGTTTTAGTCATTCAAAACTGTTTTTTTTTTAAAGTTCTCGTCTCGTTTTCGCCTGTGAAAAAAGTCGTTGACCAAAATAATAACTAATAATAGTAATAACGAGATTACCAGTGTTCTGAGGACCGTCAGATTCATTTAATTCTGGTCGTTTCAGGTCATAATGGATCTCAGACCGGCCAGATGGACTATTCCAAAGCGTGGGAGCAGTATTATAAAAAGCTAGGCAAGTACCTCTGAAACACTTTCACTGTGTCTCTTCTGTGTAGACGACATCACAGGGACTCGCTTGAGAGGTTTTATTTGCCTGACTAACAATTTTCCGGCTCCGTCATATTATTTTCTGCCACTTTTGAATGGACTGAAACACTGTTGTTGTTTTGTCATTACTCGGCAGATGAACGTGTGTAGTTGCGCACAAAAAGACCATCCATGATCCATTTACAGTGTTATGAACTGTAAAAAATTCTCTTAAAATGATTAATTAATTTATAATAAAAAATATTGAGCACATTTCCACTAACCCTAAAACACAGTGCAACATGTAGTTCAAAACACGGGTAACACACCTGTGAAAAATCAATAGAGAAAATTCATTCATATTAACACGGTGCGTCGAGCCCTATTGTTATGGACTTTTATGTATTCAATTTTACAGTGATTTAATTGGGTACGTAATTGCTCTTTGCACTTCAATTGTCATTGGTTTAGATTTCACTCTAACTAGGGTTGCACAATTTTTTGGGGGGGGGGGTCGAATCTATATACTGTATTTATCAGAGAAATTGTGATACAAAATGTGATTTTTAAAAAAATCCACGTTTGCAGTGCAATTTGGCGTGAAAAAGTGATTTATATATCAATTAACAAAATATGGAATTTATTTTTTATTTCTATTATTAATATATATATTTCTTATAAAGTTAATTTATAAAATTATAATTATCGAATTAAATTATAAATATAATTTAGTTTAAATTAGTATTTTATTTATCTTAAATACTTTGTTTATTAAATAAAATGTTTTATTTTACAGAGAAATATTACAATAGTAAAAAAAAAAATTTTACATTACAACTGTAAAATTACAATAGTAATTGTACGGTATTATACTGTATTTATCAGAGAAATTGTTGGGGTTTTTTACTAATAAAAATTGTTAAATAAAACAAAATATGGAATTTATTATTTTTTAATTAAAGTTTATTTTATTTAAATTATTTAAAACACATTTAATTAATACATTTAATTAAAATAAATTCCATATTTTATTTTATTCAATTTTTATTAGTAAAAAAACTGAAATATAAATAACTTTTTTAATTTATCTGTAAAATAAAATTGTATTTAAAAAGTATATAATAATAATTTTATTTTACATTACAACTGTAAAACTACAGTAGTAATATTTTTGTCTTAATTTCCTCGTTTCCGAACGTTAAACCGTCAGACTCTTATTTTGGCGTAAAACCGCAAGCGTCTCTTTTGCTGATCAGCGCTTTTCATGATGAGTTTGTTGAGATGTTTGGCGCATGTTAAAGCAACTCAAACTCACCTCAGATGCGGATGAAGATGCGGATGAGTCGAGACGCTCTGAGACGCTGGAAACACTGGCGGATCATGAGCTGCTCACATGTAAATCAACACAGCGCTGCGCTTCACTCTCAAACACACAGCGTGTGTGTTTCTAATAGTAACGGGTGTTTTGTGTGCAGGTCAGCAGAGCCAAGGCCAGAGCAGCGGATCCGACTACAGCAAAGCATGGGAGGAATATTACAAGAAACAGAGTAAGAGCATCTGACCTCCGGGTTATTATAACCTTCACTTTACGCAAGGGATAATGTACATCAAGACCGTTGTTATCTCAGAATAAACCCCTGCAGGTGTGTGTGTGTGTGTGTGTGTGTGTTATCTCAGAATAAACCCCCTTCAGGCGTGTGTGTTATCTCAGAATAAACCCCCTTCAGGTGTGTGTGTTATCTCAGAATAAACCCCTTCAGGTATGAGTGTGTGTGTGTTATCTCAGAATAAACCCCTTCAGGTGTGAGTGTGTGTTATCTCAGAATAAACCCCTTCAGGTATGAGTGTGTGTGTGTGTTATCTCAGAATAAACCCCTTCAGGTATGAGTGTGTGTGTGTTATCTCAGAATAAACCCCTTCAGGTATGAGTGTGTGTGTGTGTTATCTCAGAATAAACCCCTTCAGGTATATGTGTGTGTGTGTGTTATCTCAGAATAAACCCCCTTCAGGCGTGTGTGTTATCTCAGAATAAACCCCTTCAGGCGTGTGTGTGTGTGTGTGTTTGTTATCTCAGAATAAACCCCTTCAGGTGTGTGTGTGTGTGTGTGTGTGTGTGTGTCTGTTTGTTATCTCAGAATAAACCCCCTTCAGGTGTGTGTGTGTGTGTTATCTCAGAATAAACCCCTTCAGGTGTGTGTGTGTTATCTCAGAATAAACCCCCTTCAGGTGTGTGTGTGTTATCTCAGAATAAACTCCTTCAGGTGTGTGTGTGTTTGTTATCTCAGAATAAACCATTTCAGGTGTGTGTGTGTGTGTGTGTTATCTCAGAATAAACCCCTTCAGGTGTGTGTGTTATCTCAGAATAAACCCCCTTCAGGTGTGTGTGTTATCTCAGAATAAACCCCTTCAGGTATGAGTGTGTGTGTGTTATCTCAGAATAAACCCCTTCAGGTGTGAGTGTGTGTTATCTCAGAATAAACCCCTTCAGGTATGAGTGTGTGTGTGTGTTATCTCAGAATAAACCCCTTCAGGTATGAGTGTGTGTGTGTGTGTTATCTCAGAATAAACCCCTTCAGGTGTGAGTGTGTGTTATCTCAGAATAAACCCCTTCAGGTATGAGTGTGTGTGTGTGTTATCTCAGAATAAACCCCTTCAGGTATGAGTGTGTGTGTGTGTGTTATCTCAGAATAAACCCCCTTCAGGCGTGTGTGTTATCTCAGAATAAACCCCTTCAGGTGTGAGTGTGTGTTATCTCAGAATAAACCCCTTCAGGTATGAGTGTGTGTGTGTGTTATCTCAGAATAAACCCCTTCAGGTATGAGTGTGTGTGTGTGTTATCTCAGAATAAACCCCCTTCAGGCGTGTGTGTTATCTCAGAATAAACCCCTTCAGGTGTGTGTGTGTGTGTGTGTGTGTGTGTGTCTGTTTGTTATCTCAGAATAAACCCCCTTCAGGTGTGTGTGTGTGTTATCTCAGAATAAACCCCTTCAGGTGTGTGTGTGTTATCTCAGAATAAACCCCTTCAGGTGTGTGTGTGTTATCTCAGAATAAACCCCCTTCAGGTGTGTGTGTGTTATCTCAGAATAAACCCCTTCAGGTGTGTGTGTGTTATCTCAGAATAAACCCCCTTCAGGTGTGTGTGTGTTATCTCAGAATAAACCCCTTCAGGTGTGTGTGTGTTATCTCAGAATAAACCCCTTCAGGTGTGTGTGTGTGTTATCTCAGAATAAACCCCTTCAGGTGTGTGTGTGTTATCTCAGAATAAACCCCCTTCAGGTGTGTGTGTGTTATCTCAGAATAAACTCCTTCAGGTGTGTGTGTGTTATCTCAGAATAAACTCCTTCAGGTGTGTGTGTGTGTTTGTTATCTCAGAATAAACCATTTCAGGTGTGTGTGTGTGTGTGTTATCTCAGAATAAACCCCTTCAGGTGTGTGTGTTTGTTATCTCAGAATAAACCATTTCAGGTGTGTGTGTGTGTGTGTGTGTTATCTCAGAATAAACCCCTTCAGGTGTGTGTGTGTTTGTTATCTCAGAATAAACCATTTCAGGTGTGTGTGTGTGTTATCTCAGAATAAACCCCTTCAGGTGTGTGTGTGTGTGTGTGTTATCTCAGAATAAACCCTGTCAGGGTGATCAGAATCAGGTCTTCCATCAGCCTGAAGGAGTTTATTCTGAGATAACACACACACACACACACCTGAAGGGGTTTATTCTGAGATAAAACACACACCCCTGAAAGGGTTTATTCTGAGATAACACACACACACACACACACCTGAAAGGGTTTATTCTGAGATAACCACCGGCTGAATGTACATTATCCGGCTTCTTAAACATATTTAGACACAAAATATTAAGAAAATTGAAATATTCGAGCTCAAACACTGCTGTGTGAATGAGCGGCCGGATCGCATTAAGTGTGTTCTGTAGAGCGGTGTCGTGTTAGCAGCCGCTAAGCTAATCACTAATGATCTGTACAACGGAAGTGAATCGATCAAAACTAACTTTATCTGGACAATAACTTTATTCTAGATCTGCTGTAAAGCCTAAACACTCTCTGTTACTGTAATCTCCTGTTATCACTGTAAAGCTTCTAAAATAAAAACCCAGTTTCACTTTCACTCTTTTGACCAGTTGCTGAACATGTGGAAAGGAAAGCGAATCAAGTAAAATTGTTGGAGTGTAGCTGAATGTCAGTGTTCTCATCTGTCTGTCTGTGTGTGTGTGTGTGTGTGTGTGTGTGTGTGTGTGTGTGTGTGTGTGTGTGTAGCTCAGGGAGCCGGTCCTGGTTCTCAGCAGAGTTCTCCTCCAGATTACAGCGCCGCCTGGGTGGAGTATTACAGACAGCAGGGGGCGTATTACAACCAGGGACAAACACAGGCTCCCGGCCTCCCGGTAAACACACACACACACACACACACACACACTTACTTATACTACACTAGAGATTCATCATCAGATGTGTATCAGATTGTACACTGCCGGACAAAATGTTGGAGTTATTTGAACATTAAAAGAGTCTCTTCTGCTCACCAAAGCTGCACCAAATTTGATCGAAAATACAGTAAAAATTGAGAAATATTATTATAATGTAAATCAGATGTAAATATATAGTAAAGTGTAATTTATTCCTGTGAATTTTCAGCATCATTACTCCAGTCTTCACTGTCACATGATCCTTCAGAAATCACTCTCATATGATTTTCCGGAAACATGACACGATATCATTCAAAAGTTTGGGCTCAGTATGATATTTTTTTTAAAGAAACCAATACTTTAATTCATCAAGGATGCATTAAACTGATTAAAAGTAACCGTAAAGACATTTATAATGTTACAAAAGATTATATTTCAGATAAATGCTGCTCTTTTGAACTTTCTATTCATCAAAGAATCCTGAAATATGCAAAAAATATGAGCGGTTTTAAACACTGATAATAATCATAAATGTGTCTTGAGCATCAGATCCTCATATGAGAGTGATTTCTGAAGGATCATGTGACACTGAAGACTGGAGTAATGATGCTGAAAATTCACAGGAATAAATTACACTTTACTGTATATTCACATAGAAAACAGTGGACTTAAATTCTAATAATAATTTGTGATTTTTACTGTATTTTTAATTAAATAAATTCAGCTTTGATCACAGGAATAAATTGCACTTTACTGTATATTCACATAGAAAACAGTGGACTTAAATTCTAATAATATTTTGTGATTTTTACTGTATTTTTAATTAAATAAATTCAGCTTTGATCACAGGGATAAATTGCACTTTACTGTATTTTCACATAGAAAACAGTGGACTTAAATTCTAATAATATTTAGATGTTTACTGTATTTTTTTAAATTAAATAAATTCAGCTTTGATCACAGGAATAAATTTCACTTTACTGTATATTCACATAGAAAACAGTGGACTTAAATTCTAATAATATTTTGTGATATTTACTGTATTTTTAATTAAATAAATTCAGCTTTGATCACAGGAATAAATTACACTTTACTGTATATTCACATAGAAAACAGTGGACTTAAATTCTAATAATATTTTGTGATTTTTACTGTATTTTTAATTAAATAAATTCAGCTTTGATCACAGGAATAAATTACACTTTACTGTATATTCACAGAGAAAACTGCTGATTTACACTGGAATAATATGTCACTATTTTTACTGTATTTTGATCAAATAAAGGCAGCCTTGATGAGCAGAAGAGACTCTTTTCAAACACTAAATCTGATTTATTGGCATCTGCTGTCCTCCAGTGAGTGTGTGTGTGTTACGCTGACGCTGTGTGTTCTCTCTCCCGCAGGATCATTAAAGCGGATGACTGCGGACCCTTTAGTTGAAGATTTTTGAATCACTGCGAGGAGGAAACAGACCTTTTGTAACAGAGGTTTCTAGATTTGCAACGCCTTGAAGACTTTTACTTTTTTTCTTAGTGAGAAACACTAGCTGTAGAATGACTTATATGATTTAAAAAGAGAACTATTTCTAAATCAGGACATCAAATTGTTACTAAATCCTTGTGTACACACACCATTTATTCGAATGGGCAATTTCCGGGATCCTTTTTGGACCGTTTCAGAGTTGGTTTGTTTTCTATTCTTCCTTTTTAATTCGACGATATATATATATTCAGATGTATATCGCCAAAACGAACCCCGGAGTTGCGGCATTTCATTGATCGCGCAATATAATCTCTTATTTTTCTAGTTCTGTTGCAATAAAATGATCGTGGGCTTAGCAGTCTTGAATACGTTATCGTTTAGTTTTGTCATGCAATGTTTTAAGAATGTGTACAAAATGTTTTTTCTTTTTTTTCTTTTACATAAAGCATTTTAATTCAGTGCGATAAATAAAAAACTGTGATGTTTTTGTTACAGAAATATATGCTTTTGTTACACGATAAACGGCGAATGGCGGTCGGTTCCTGATGATGTAATTCCTCATGTACTTTGTATTCTGTTTTCATTGTCATTTTATTGTACTCTGGTTGAAAAAGGTGCAATATCTTATTTCAGTTTTTTTTTTTGAAACAAAGATGGATTTCTCTAATATTTTGACAGACGTTTAACTTGTAGATCTTATAGAGGTTTTTTTTAGACGTATGCAAATGTAACGGATAATTTTTTATTACAGTGATTTGACGGGGAAAGGGTGGTTGTTTTTTGCCTTTGCTCTCTTGTAAAACTATGTATGTATGCTCAGATACTTGACTAAATACTTTATTTAAAAATATATATAATTAAATCAAAGACTTTTTTTGTCCTGTGTTTTACAGGAAAACTGTCCCTGTTTTTCTGTTCTGTTTTCATACTGAAATTTGTCAAAGATTGTGAATGTGTAATTTGAAATTTGATGTTGCATCTTGCTGACAGATGAGACGTTTTATGTAAACTTGTTCTGTAAACTTGGACTTTAAAGCGTTCAAGACTGCTAAGCCTCTGAGAGCCTACCTGTGTATTAATTAATTGTAGTTTTTTATATTGGAAGTATTGGAAGATCAAAGTTGTTGTCTTATTTGGTACCGGCGGTCTCTCCGAAACCCCTCATCCATCCCAGTACACACTGTGGACTCCTGTACAGTCCCGATCCAGTAACCTTTTTAATTCTGTTTTTCCTTTCTACTCTGTGTGATCTAATATATGTATGATTGACTAGTTACAAATTGATCTAGTATTAACTTCATTGCTTAATGAAAAGGGATATTATAATTTCGAAATGTTTAATTTTAGTGTTTCTTTTCTTCCTCATGTGTACAGGTAACCATGTATTAAAATGATTGAAAGACGACGTCTTTTTTTGTGCTTTTTCTTTATATAGCCTTTGGCAGGCATCATGCATTTGTCAAATAATTTCATATTTGCTCATTCGGTGATATTACAATAAGGTCTCAGTTGTTAACATTGTTTTAAGGTACTGTAGCCGCTAACGGTTAACAAAACTACTAAAGAACATTGTTTTAAGGTACTGTAGCTGCTAACGCTTAACAAAACTACTAAAGAACATTGTTTTAAGATACTGTAGCCGGTAACGGTTAACAAAACTACAAAAGAAGGTACTGTAGCTGCTAACGGTTAACAAAACTATTAAAGAACATTGTTTCAAGGTACTGTAGCCGCTAACGGTTAACAAAACTACAAAAGAACATTTTTTTAAGGTACTGTAGCCGCTAACGGTTAACAAAACTACAAAAGAACATTGTTTTAAGATACTGTAGCTGCTAACGGTTACCAAAACTACAAAAGAAGGTACTGTAGCCGCTAACGGTTAACAAAACTACAAAAGAAGGTACTGTAGCCGCTAACGGTTAACAAAACTATTAAAGAACATTGTTTTAAGGTACTGTAGCCGCTAACGGTTAACAAAACTACAAAAGAACATTGTTTTAAGGTACTGTAGCTGCTAACGGTTAACAAAACTACAAAAGAACATTGTTTTAAGGTACTGTAGCTGCTAACGGTTACCAAAACTACAAAAGAACATTGTTTTAAGGTACTATAGCCGCTAACGGTTAACAAAACTACAAAAGAACATTGTTTTAAGGTACTGTAGCTGCTAACGGTTACCAAAACTACAAAAGAACATTGTTTTAAGGTACTGTAGCTGCTAACGGTTAACAAAACTACAAAAGAACATTGTTTTAAGGTACTGTAGCTGCTAACGTTTACCAAAACTACAAAAGAACATTGTTTTAAGGTACTGTAGCCCGCTAACGGTTACCAAAACTACAAAAGAACATTGTTTTAAGGTACTGTAGCTGCTAACGGTTACCAAAACTACAAAAGAACATTGTTTTAAGGTACTATAGCCGCTAACGGTTAACAAAACTACAAAATAACATTGTTTTAAGGTACTGTAGCTGCTTACGGTTACCAAAACTACAAAAGAACATTGTTTTAAGGTACTGTAGCCGCTAACGGTTACCAAAACTACAAAAGAACATTGTTTTAAGGTACTGTAGCTGCTAACGGTTACCAAAACTACAAAAGAACATTGTTTTAAGGTACTGTAGCTGCTAACGGTTACCAAAACTACAAAAGAACATTGTTTTAAGGTACTGTAGCTGCTAACGGTTACCAAAACTACAAAAGAACATTGTTTTAAGGTACTGTAGCTGCTAACGGTTACCAAAACTACAAAAGAACATTGTTTTAAGGTACTATAGCCGCTAACGGTTACCAAAACTACAAAAGAACATTGTTTTAAGGTACTGTAGCCGCTAACGGTTACCAAAACTACAAAAGAACATTGTTTTAAGGTACTGTAGCCGCTAACGGTTACCAAAACTACAAAAGAACATTGTTTTAAGGTACTGTAGCTGCTAACGGTTAACAAAACTACAAAAGAACATTGTTTT